ATACTTGTACCTTGGGGATCCTAAATACACCAAAAAACTTAACGGAAACTATTTTTATCAAAAATAATATTAAAAATGAACAAATATTTATGGAATTGTTATAAATAAAATAGCACTATCTGCATATATTATAATGGAAGCATATTTTTTTTTTTTCAAAATAAAATATATACAAGTAGCTAATGTTAGGTACTTGATTTATCTTATAATAATAATTATTTGAAAAAAATTCTTTTTGGTAATTTTTAAATTTAAATTTAACGTTTTAAGGGTGTTAACTTAATTTTTTTAAACGGAAGTATACATATTAAACTAGCTTATAAAATACAAAATGATCTGATTCAGAAATTTACTGGTCATTACCAAACAACGTTTGAAATAGTACTTTAGATATTTTTGACATTTTTAAATATAAAGTGGAGAAATAGCACGATAAGGTAATGTGTAATGATAAAAATAACCTCATCATCATTATTAATTTTAAAATAGTTAAACTTCCGAAATATTATGTCAAATGTTATTATCGACTATTCTCATTTATTTTACACTTTTTTTTTTTCAATAATTCTTCTTCTTTTTTCTTTTTTTATCCCAACTACTTGGGTTCGGCCCTATTCTTATCCTAAACTTACACTTGAAACGATCACCCATATTATCTAAGCTCATATCAGTAGTCCTCATATCGCATTAAACATCGTATCAACAATTGACGCTACACCTATTCTCCTTCTTATTCAACTTTTTATTTTCAATAGTTAAAATATTACTTAAGATCTGAAAATTTCAATTGTACCATTTCTTTTAATTACCAATGGTTACATAAAAGTGATAATGAATACTTCTATTAAAATGAATTATTACAATATAAATTGAAAAAAAAATTGTAATTTTAATTAAACTTTGATATCTTTTTATAAATTTATTGTTCAACAACTAAACAAAAGTTCTGACCTCATATCGATCTCAAATTACCATTTTTTAAATCGCCATAAAATTACCTATTTAATGATATTTTAAAATTTACAAGTTGATCTAAAAAAATTTTATAGTAAAAGTTCAACTTTTTATTATAATTGTTCGTAAATATCAACTATAAAAAATGACTCATAGGGTTAATATTTTACAAAGATTATTGTTAATATTATACTCTTTTCTTAATAATAAATCTTTAAAACAAGAGGTGATAGAAAAAATCACAGATTTGAATTCAGGGCAAAAATTAGTTTAGAAAAGTACATTTTTGTTTCTAAAAAAGAGTATCAATTTGTCGATCACTATTATTTAAATAAAACTAAATGTTAAACATATTTTTAACATCTGTTTAATATTTAACATATGTTAAACGCTGATGTATAATTATTCAAATGCTAATCGTCCGACCTTTTTATAGCGATTTGAATAATTTTAAAACAAATGAATTTAATGCTTTCAATTATATTAAAGACTATTTAAAAATTGCAATGTAACTTTTTTAATGGGAAAAAATCATAACAGATATATTAGATTATCATTTTAATAAGACTATATGTTTTCATATGTTAATAATTTTCAGATAATAGGAATGATTTTGTTATCTTGTAGTGTTCACTTGTTATATTCAAATATTTCTTTAGTTCTGCGAAACGCACAAACGTCGGTAATGTTATGAAATGTTGTTTTTATTCGTATACTGAATTTTTTTTAAATTTTGAACATCCATCAAATTCATTTCTACTTAAAAATTTATTAAAATGAAATATTAAGAATTTTGTTTTAAATTATTGAGTACAAAATAATTTCTAATCTACAATATGTTAATAACGAATATACCTCTTTCTAGTGCGTATGTCTTGCCAGTAAAACAATTACTTTTTTTTTTTTGTTCAATGAAGTTTGAAATCGTTCAATCAATAAATTTACTCTTGTATTTGTAAATAGTCTTCGAAATTGGACTCCGTTTTATATTTATGAAGTTTTCATAGAATGGTCGGCACATCTAGATGAGTTTATCAAGCAGCTGGAAAGTCGTAAAACAAAAAGCCGCATTCGGCACGATTGAGAACTTTTAAAGTTTTATGTTTATCCAACTTATAACAACTCTTACGGCCAAAGTCTATGATAGGTAGTTTAACATTACGCACGAATACTATGCCAACCATACGTTTTTATGACGTTTATCAGACTTTGTAGTTTTATTTATTTTTTCACTTTATTCCAATTTCATATTCATCGTCCGTTAGTCATACGTGGAAAGACGTGTCTGCTGCGGCGACCCTAAAGTGACTCGGTTCATACGCCTTACTATCATCTTCTCCGTTGTGCATGTCTTTTCCACTAAAACAATTGAAATACGATAGACAAATTTAACTCGAACTGCTACACCCAAGGGATCTTTCTCTCGAAGATTTATTTCTCAACTACCGGCATTTGTTAGTTTTCAAACATTCACCTGTAGCACTCGAAATCAACTTTCTTTGAACTCCCCCTAAAAGCTCATTTAATTGCTTTTAATTATATCCCAAGAAGAAACAGAATCTCTTGAAGCAGTAGGTATCATTAGATGTTTCTTGGAAATTCAATTTTCACATGTATCGATGATTTTATGTAAAGTTACACATTCAAATCTAATGGTATTCAGATGAAACGATAACGTTTTCTTGTTATGTTTGTTTACATTTAAATACTTTGTAATTTGTTTACAAACATCACAAAATGCTCCAAGACAAATCTATCCCCGTTGAATAATATCTTCTTAATCCTTGAAATATTATTTTCAGTAGCATACACACAAATCAATAGCCATTATGTTTACTTAAGCTCTATCTGTTTGCTATGAGATAAAAACTTACAGCTCCATCGCCATTTTTACCCCAGTAATTGACTTTCAAACAAAATGTAAAGAGCAAATGGCCGATAAAGCAACAGAACCAACAAACAAATATGTATATAAACAATCTAGTATATGGCTAAAAAAAACTTGTAAACAATTACTAAGAACTAATAAATCCGAAGTCTTAGCCCATTATTTTATGATATCATAAGAGTTAATGATATAGTAGTTTTAATCAACAAAAATCACTTGCTCGTGATGCGTAAATAAATTTTAGTTACTGTTGAAATTTTATAGAAATCAAAAATGTTATAGTAATAGTTAGTTGTAGTTCAATTATTAAAAAACATTTTTATGATCAATAATTTTGATTTATATAGAACATATTAACAGGTTGAACACTAGTGGTTCTACTCGTTAATGTTAAATGAATATGACAATGTGGACTTAAGCCTTCATAAACACATTCGTAGACCCCATAAAAAATGAACTTTTGGAAAATAGAGGGAGACGAATAAATTTAATGGAGAACTACTTAAACATTAGACTTATAAAAAAGAGTATGAGACTATAATGCTCATATATAAAATTGTCAAGCTATGCTTTTGGTTATAAAATAAAATGTTCAAAAATTGTATAAAATGAAATTATTAAGTTTTTTTAATATATTTTTTTTAATAAAAGCAACATTTAAATTTTTATAAAAAGAAAAAACAGGAACCAATTAAATTGTTTTTTTTTTTCAGAGTTTTAATTATGCGTATACAGTCGGTTATATTGTTTATAAATGAATTTATATCCGCAGGCTTAGACAAATAACTAATAAAATTACTTTTTAAAGTAATACTCTTAAAATGGTATTAAATGGATAATGAAATAGTTTGATTAAAAATATTCTATACTCATATAAGATTAATTAATACATACAAAAACAATTTCCTCATTATTTAATAACAATAATATATATTTCATGTTAACTACCCAAGTCTCAAAATTAAATTGCATCATTCAGACAAATAAACTGTGTTATGCTTTTGGTAACAATAATTGTTTCCGTATAAATTTACCGGTAAATTATTTACTGATGAAATAATTTTATTTGGAAAAGTGAAAACTGTAAATAAGATTAGTTAATTATTTTTTCACTAGGTAAATTAATAAATCTCTAGAAAATGTATAATATGCGTTTATTTGGTTTATTAATTAAAAAATACTTTTTATTAGCGAACTAGAACTTATGATTACCGTTAAATGAACATTTAATTATAAATATTTTGCGAAGTCAGTTTTTTAAACAAGAGGGTTCATTTAATTTCAAATTGAATAACCACATGACATTTAATTTCGAGAAGAATGCATTTAAGAGAAACAAGATTGAATATAGGTCAACACTGTTGTGAATTATTTAGAAATAAACAAGAATGCAAAAATATTCAAAATCAGTATTACCCTTGTTTGACATTTAGCTTTAAAGATTTCCTTTAAATGCAATTTTAAATGTAACGAAGGACTTATGGATTATTTAGGAGTTCAGATTAGTTTCTTATTTTTGTATCGTAATTAATTTATAGTCTAAATATTATGACACAAGGAACATTCTTATTTTCTGATTCGAAGCTGTTAAAATACCGTTAAATATTATCAATATTATTTATATTATATAATATTGATGTTAATATTATTTTTGTTTTTGTAAAACCGACCAAAAATTATTTTTTGTCATTCCAACATTTACATTTTATTTTTGCTATTTACAAAAACTGTCAGTGCCATCTAGTGTAGAATGTTGAAAAGCTGGAATAAAAAATAATGGCTAGATGGCGCAATAAATAGTGACAAAATTAAAAAGTTATAAAACGAATACATATTTTTAAATCACTAACATTTTTAAGTAGTGTAATCTAATTAATTAAACCAAAATATCGGTCTTATCTGTCTTTTGTCTTTAGTAAACTTTTGTTTTTAATTAAACCTGTACTTTGATAAACACAGCACTTGATACTATTTTTAATGTTTATAGTAATTTTTATTTTATTTTATTTTATACACAACCAAATTGTAAATATTTATGAAATGTCGTTATAATTATTTGGTTTTAATGATTTTTTTTTTTTTTAATAATATGCTCTTTGCAAAATAATATGTATATACAATGAAAATTAGCAAAAAGCACGACGTGTGTGTGTTGCAGTTGTGATGGTGAAATAAATCTGTAGAGTAGGACGCTACCACAGTCACAAATCGCCACTAGAAAATGAATTATGGCGTATCCGAGGCTTCGTCATTACAGGTCCCGATCATAAGCATTTCCATGTTTTATTATATTCATAATTTTTATGACTACTATTTTAATAATTTTTGATTTTATTTTTCTAGTAGTTTTTTTCAAATATAATTTGTTATGAAAACACAATACTATATATATTATTATATTTGAACTATAATATTATTATTATTTTGTTTGTTCCTTTGACAAAACAGTCGAATTAGGATTGTGCAACATTGTTGGTTACGACTCACAAAAAGTGCACCTGGGACTAGTAAGTGTTAACTGTTGGTAATACTCGCGGAATACAAAATAAACAAAACAATAAAATGAACAAAATTGGAAAACGTTTTATGCTCTCACTCAATGTATTAGAAATAATGAGTTGATCAAGTTTCACTCAATTTAAAGCAAAGCACTGAAACTAGGAACGGTTCAATTTTAATAATATTTGGAAAAAGTTCATTGAATGTTTTAAAATTCACTTCAATACTTTTTGTTTACGATTACAGATCATTAGATTTCGACACAAAAACCTTTCTAACAAATATCAAAATTATTAAAACGTTCTTCTTAAATTTTCTCAATGAATTTAAAATATTGCAGTATTGACAACATAAATTTTATATTTGATTCGATAGCAGATATCATAAACTCAATACATAACGTCATTATAAATACATAAAGTCTCAATAAAATCCAATCGAGCGTGAAATTTAGTTACCAACTTAACAAATTCGAAAACTACACAGTAATATATCTGTATACGAAATTCTATATTATTATAGATATTATTTATTTTTCTAAGGTCTATTTACATTTAATAATGAGTTTCGGTGTACTTTTTGTATTCCATTTGTTGTTTAACTGGCGAATAACATTTGTAGGAAATGTAGATAATAATCTGTCTGTCTCGTGTAATCTCGATGGAAATTCTCATTTCATATATGAGAGTAAACATTTCGTTTATTTACTCTGAAATAATAGTAATAACATAAAGTTGTGATTGAAGTCGTGTAGCTCTTAAATAAACATAACGCTTTAAGTAAATACAACTAACCCAATGCTATAAAAAAGTAAGCAGAAAAACTAATTAGTAATTTTTCGAGCTTAAACTAAAAGAATACAGTTCTGTTATAGAAAACTTTCCCAATCCTTTATTAAAACATTACTATACCCTGATATTTTTTATGTTTTATTTATATACTTTTATACATTGATTTTATAATAGTAAAAACAAAGTAGACACAAAATCGTAAAAACATGGAATTTTTTTTATAAAAAAATTCTGTATTGAGTATTTAAAAACATGATTGAAAACCAGTGAAATGTAAACAAACTTGTAGAATGAGTCGTACCAACATTAATCACACGTAATTCATCAACTGTTTTTTTTTTCATCGCACAAATAATCTCTATACACCAGTAAATTTAATTATTTTTTAATATAAAAAGTTTAGTTAATTTTTTTTATTTTGTGTGAGTGTGTAATAAAGTATTTTATTTGTTTCACCATTGGTATCTATGATGCAACACAATATTAGTAACATTGATACATAAAATAAAAGACACTGGAAAATGTTTCGAATAACATTTTTCAAATATGTCAATTAGTTTTCATTTTGTTTTTTTTTCAAAATACTGATATTTGATATTTACATTAACGGAAATAGAAGTTCAGTTGATAAAGTTTGAACATTTAATTTCATTAACATGCAAAATTACAAAATCATAGGATACGTGCATATATTTAACATAATATATTTATACACATATTATGGTTATTTAATAGATTTATTGTTGCTTTGTCATTTTTGAATGAGCTAAAATTTGCTTTAATAGTATACTATTATACTAATTTGTCGTTTTATTGCTGTAGAACTAAAACGTTTGATTTTCAATTAGTTTCCTTCTTTGTGAAATATTATTTTACATATTTTGTTATTATTTATGTATTATATTATGCTAACAATTGTTTAAGGTAAGTTTAAGTAACATGACATGATTAAAATATATTTTTTACAATGTCCTTCTCTGAGTCTATTTTTTATTTTTCAATTATATGTTATAAAACGATGCAAACCGTTTAAAACTTACGATTAAATTAACGGTAGCGTTTAAATGATATTTCTTAATGTTATCTTAACGATAATTATGCATAAAATATTGTTAAGATATGAAGTATACAAGTCTTTTTTCTGCTTAAATCACAAAGGTCATATCATCATTTTTTTAGAATTCTTTTCATAAAATAAAAAAATATCGATCGTATAATTAATTCAGCACACTTACATTGTTTTTCTGTTTTCCATGAAAATATTAATAAGAAAATTTAGCCAAGGTAAAAACTTTTAATGTTGTTAATTAATTTATATATATTTCTACGTTTTTAATTATTTCTTACATGCACACCATTTTATTATTATCATTATTTTGTATATATAATTGTCTTAAAGTAAATTTTGTTGTATTAATTATACAAGTTATGTCTGCACTCTGTTGCTTACTGAGCGTTACCTCAAATAAATAAAAAAATTTTTGGATTTCGAATTCTTATCAGATTTTTAAATGTTTTTGTTTTCATTATCCTTTTAGATGCAAAGATTTTGTGATTTAAGGCGACTTTAAGTTTATTGAATTTTTTTAATACAATTTCTTTTTATATTATATTTCTATTGTGTGTGTATTTATTAAGTGCTTGAATTTAAACTAGTTAAAATCGTTTGTGTATACATTGAAATATAATTGTAATTATTGTGTATAGGACGATGACGGCCATATGCTTCGTCTGCAACCTGCCAATTCTGAGTCATCAGGTTGGGTTGGTGTGGCAAGGTGGCAATGGATGGGACGATATTTTACGCGAGCAAATGGAAGAAACGACGCTCAAGCAGCGACTGGGCGGCCGCCGAGACTCGGCAGCGCAAATCACCACAGAATCACCGCCCACCGAAACGGCAGAAACTTCACCTCCGGTCAGCCGCCGCCGAAGACGCAGCTCACTGGCCCAACTCACCGACATACTTCGTGAATGGAGTGGAACCGGTATGGGAGGTGGCGGTAAGTCGGGCGGCCGGCCGAAAGGCATCACCAGGCGTGAGACGCTTGCTGACATCGCCAAGACGCTGCCTTTCGGCCGGTCCAATACGATCACGTCATCGAGGAAGCGTCGCGAGTCTTCTGTGGACTCGGGCATCAAGTCTTCATCGAGTAAGGGACGTCGTGATTCTAAAAACGACTTTAGAGCCGACATTGCGAAGCTCCTCAACAACAGACGTGACTCTGTCATAACACCAAGTGTATCACAGCCAAGGAGAAGAGGATCCACCGAGTGAGTACGCTTGACATTATCAAATATCAGTTTAACAACACAGCAGTATATTGTACTAATAATATGTAAGCCACTCGAGTTGACTGCAATTGTTTGTGTTTACTAAAAACAAACTAATCATTTTCCACGCAGTCATAGTAAAACACAATTAGGTTTAGAGTTTCATTATCAATATTATCGGGATAATTAAACGTCCAACTTGAATACGTGGTAAAAAATTACATAAAATACATTGTTATGGTACACATATATTTAGAATATTTTTTATATAAAGTATAAAAGTTTATCAAATCGAAAATTTAAACACATTTAATATTGGCACCGAGTATGGAATGTGACTCAAAGTTTCGTCCAAACCATAAAAAATGAATGAGTTATTTATTTTTTTTTTTTACCATAAATAAACCTTGCTTATTAATAATTTCATTGATATTATTATAACTTGAAAAAATGACCCATGAAAACGTTTTATGAATGTTTATTTTCGAGAGTAAAAATAAATTGCTTTCCAAATAAAAGCTTTAATCTTTTTTTAATAATAATGTAAAGTTTTTTTTACTGATAATAATTTTTAAAATGATCTCTATACAAATAGTATTTGCTGTGCTTTAAATACATTTACATACAGTACATCCTACACACTTGAATGAATATTGTAAATTGTAGATTATATCTCATTATAATATACATAATGAAATAATCATAAAAATAAAACATTAAAAATGAGTATTTTTAATAAAATAAAAATTCTAATTCAACACAAAGGCAATTTTAAATATACATTTAAAATTAACATCATCTTAAAGTTGATACATTCGTATTCGTCGATGTGTAATTATTACTATCGTAAAGTATTTAAAGATTAAGACGAAAATTTAAATATTCACTACGGTACGATTTATATCATATTCGAAAAATTGTACAAAGATAAATGGGTTTAAGTTCATAAAAAATTATTTGCCCATCATAAATAGCGCTATTTTCTATCAATAAAATATGCGCCACAATACTTAAAGGAAATTAATTTTATACCGACTTTGATACCTAGTTGTTTTAACTACTTTGTTTTTGTTTTAAAATCGTCGGGTTTTAAGAATATACATACTTGTCAAATTGTGTGCTTGAAACCACCTGCTTATTAAAAAACGAACGAATAATTGAAATTATTGCACATGTTTTTGTGCTTGTAATACGTTAGTAAAAATAATGTATATTGACTGTGCAAGTTGAACTCAAACGAAATTTGTTCTAGCGCATTTTCGATGCAGTTAAGTTTTGTTTCAGTAGCGTTGGCCGCCCATCGGACTTGGACGGCAGACGTGGTTCGAGAGATGGCGGCATTCGTCAACACCGTACATGCCATAAGCGTAGAGATTCTCAGGCCATTGTTCCCGGCTTATCTACGTCTTCCAACGGTTCCGGAGACGGTGTTAAAACGACAGAAGACCATACAATAACACCCCCGACGATGGTCATTAGTAGTGTGACACCTCCTCCGACATCGCCGTGTGTTCCATCACCGACAAACCAACAGGCGCCGACCGCCATGGCCACAGCATCGGTGTCTTGTAGTTACACTCCGCCCGTGTCGTCTCCCAGTTCACCGGTGGCCTGTGTAGCGCCTCAGCTGACCAGCGGAATGTCACACGCACCGCCCGTTTCCCGAAGAGATTCCACCACACAAGTGAGATATGCTAAGCTCGAACTATACGCGAAACTGACGCTGCGATTGTTTTTCTCAGGTGTATTCAAGAACTCGCCGTAGTTCCAAACCACACGTGTCTCCCGAACGACGACACAGTAAAGACGGCGGCATTGGGTTAGCCGGCAACAAGCTCTCAAGACTGCAAAGGCAATCGACTGCCATCGACGAGAGCTGCTTGCCCGCGGGCGCTCTAAGCGGACGGAGGAGTTCTCAACCTACGCTGTCGGCAGAACAGGACTGGCAAGATCGGAAAACCAGACGGGATTCGCTGTCTCCCGACTCTGCGAATTACGCGAGGCGTCGCGATTCTAGAGTTAGTGTAATTATAAAACGTTGACATTATTAATTGGCTAAAATCGACGAAAGATTTCGTTCGATTTGACGGATAGGACTGCGAGACATCGCGTTTTTTTTACCACGTTCGTAATATTTTTAGGGCGGACTGTCACCTGACAGACAGGGTCGAGATGTGTCGCCCGGAAGAAACAGACGCCGACGAAATTACAGACGACAGAGCACTACTATGGGCAGTTACAACACACGCAACTGTAGAACGAGGTCGCCGGAATCGTCATCGTCGTGTTCGTCTCGAGAACCGTCTCCTGTGGGCAGATCAGTTACACCGGCAGCCGCCACTAGAGCGCCGATCATAAGAAGACAATCGACTACTGAAGAGATCCTAATCGCAAGAGGATTCCGAAGACAAGTGCGTAGAGACTTAACGATACGTTTTGTAGGCCCAACGCCCAATGAATACTTTTTTATGATGGTTATAACTATTACTATAAAAAACCACGCGTAGAACTCTTTCTGCGGTACAGTAGAATTGATACTATTTAAACATTGTGATTGTGTAAATATTCATTGTCAAACGTAATCTCTTCAAGTCATTAAATAATTATATTTTCGGTAAATATCACTTTATCTTAAATTTGTTACAAATGTATTGGCAGTTATACAGCCAAGTCTCCAGTACACATTACATTTAACCATAAATTTTACTACAGTTTGTAAAGTTGTTACTACTAATGGCCATTAACTTACATAGTTATCTCTTTTATTTTCTATCGAGTACCTTATCGACAAACTGAAATTTAATAGTCACAAAATATTAGACAGTTAAAAAATAATGACACTATTCGCGTATAACCTTAATGATAATTATTTCTCCGGTTATTTAAATCGATCACAATATAAACGTATTTTTTTATACATAAAAAAATGTCATACTCTATCATATAATATTATAATCTTGCATATAAAAAGACACATTTTATAATATCGACGTTACATTATATAACACACGCATTTTGTTATATCTAAATTTATTCTCAAGAATTCATATTAATTATTTTCTTATTAAATTTAAGTAAAAACAATTTTTAAATTCAATAAAATTAATAAAATAATTCACTCAAAAAGACATGTTAAAAAGAATTCTTTTATTTTATAAGGCAATGTGTGTTTATTGATCTTGTAATGAATGAGTATAGTGTATTTGACCCTCAATAGTTTACTAATGTTTAAATTGCAAAAATATATATACGTTTACGTTGATTCATAAAAAATTATACCATCAAATTTTTATGACTAACATGTATAAAATTAACTCAATTTTTTCACTAATCGTTTCTAATTTTTATATTTTATAATGTAATTACAAACATTATAAAATTAAAAGTTTTGTGTAAAAGTTATTATTATTTATTTAAAAATTTGTTCACAAGATGCTTATTTATTTTTATCGGAACTTAATTTTCAGTCAACTACTGAAGAAATGATTCGCTGTAGAAATTTCCGGAGACTTTCTTCGCAATCTGATGAATGCTATAGAACTAGAGGCCGAAGAGATTCAAGTACACAGATAATTGATGGAACATTGGCCACAATGGCTGTAGAAACTAGTAGCACGCTGTTTGATTCTAGTACTCAAACAGGTAAGAAATTTACCTATTTAAAATTTAAAAGATATTAATTTGTCCACTCGAAAAAAGTGATTTCTAGTCAAAACTTTTAGATATAATCTCACAAAAATATATATTTTTATTTCTCTAAACATTGTTTTGAGGCTACTTGAAGTTTTTAGAAGGCATATTTATATGACTTAAAATGTTGACCGTTTAAACATAGTTATTATATAATGTAGTAATGATTAAAGAGTAAAACTGAATGCCATAACTAGTTTATAATTGCCAATTAGTCGAAATAATATTTGACATTTGGTTAGAAGGTTTTCCCTTCAATACTGTTATTGCATAACATCAACATTATTCGATTAACCTTTTAGTTTTCCTTCAAGTCATAAACACATTTAGTTTATGATATTTTTACGAGCCAGCCGCCTAAGAGTGTAATTTTATGTGTTCCTGTGAGTATTTTCTTTCTATTTTTCTTATTAGCAACCCTAATTTAAAAAAAATAAATAAATTATTTAAAAATTAAATGTACAAATAAAAATCATTTTCATTAATTTTGTGTCTAAAGTGTTTAACTCAATCATTAGATTTAATAAGAAAATTGTATTATTTAGTTAAAACAAATCAGTACAACAATTTTTTGGTAAAATTTGAATTAATTTTTATGAGATCATTATAAAAAAAAACGGCAGCACAGTGGGGACGTGGCACAGTGAGGACGTGGCATAATTGGGACAAGAATAGATGATATTTCACAGTGATTACAATCATTATCATAAAAAATGCTTCGAAATACATCGTGTATAATTTTAAAAAATTGGTGAATTATTCTAAAAATAACATCAAATCCCCATTTCATTAATTATATACTGATTAGTAGTTGTTAGTCTTATATGTTTTGTATAATATATTAAACTTAAATATTCATTCAAACTACGAATAAATACTTAGTTATTTATAGTAATTCATATTAATAAAATATTCCATCATTTAATATTGTAAATCTTACAGAGAAATTATAAACAAATATAAAGTTGTTATATATTTCGTTATTGCTATGGTAAACGTCTATAAAAATTTGAAGTGCTTGATTCAAAAATAATTTGTTTAAAACTGGTCTACAAGGAATTTTTATCAGTAACAAAATTATGTTTTTTCCAAACCAATTTTTTGCGCTGATTTTAAATGTTAAATGATGATTTTTACACCAAAATAATATTTTTTGTTTAATTTTGGAGGCTATTTACATATACATGACATGTCGTTAGGACAATTTTATTTTTTAACTTTGAGCATATAACACAAGCTTCCATTTAACACATGTTTAAAGCTTGGAGTATTTCGAAACATTTTTAAAAATTAAGTTGAAATAGTTAACTTTTGGTACAAAAGTTGCTATTTTTACAATCTCTCTCTGAGAGTAGGTTAAAAGTCACATTTTTAAAAAAAATATACCAAATGAAACGAAAACACCTAGGGTGACTTTGTAAAAAAAAACAGTTTTTTTCGTTCATTTTTATAAGAGTTATAATAAATTTAAAAAAATAGTTTAAATAAGTCGAAATTGACCGATTTTAAAAATCATAATTTTACAGGAATTACCACTTTTAAAAAGAACGAAAAATGTTTTCAATTTTTAAGGGCAATGTATTCAACTAGATACGATAACTGATCTTTTGACGTACGTTTAAAGAAATCAGTCCGGTAAGAACTTAAAAAATGTGGTGACAGTCACAAAAAAAATAAATAATCAAAGTTACACCTTCACACTTTGCATCAAATCTAAAAGTACATATAAACATAGAAAGAAATGTAATATCAATCGATTTTTTAGTGTTTAAATGGCCAAAATTCTATAGTAATGATTTAAAATTTTTAGCTTAGATGCGAACCTGAGAAGGTATTAATTTTACTATGATGTATTTTTATTATTATTATTTTTTGTGTGTCTGTCACTAGTTTTTCTCAACCGATTTCTTTCAACAATACGTCATAAGTTCACAAATCGTATCTAGTTGAAGACATTATCCTCAAAAATTGAAAAAAATTCACTCATTCCCCGTAAATGGGGGAAATTTACAAAAAAATTACAAATTAAAAAATAACTAATTTTCGACATTTTTTCAATTTTTTTTACTTGAAACTGCCATAACTTTATCAAAAATGATCAAATCAAAATAATTTTTTTTATAGATACATGATGTTTTTAACTAACATTTGCTATATTTCTTTTATAAATCTGACCTTTTACCTGCGGACAGAAAGGATTTAAAATGACAACTTTTTCACAAAAAATTAACTTTTTCAATTTAGCTTTTGAAAGTTTTCCGAAAACTCTGACACTTTTATATATATCTTAAATTAAAGCTTATGTAATATTCTTTAATATGAAAAAGAAAATTTTCCGACTTTATTCTGTTTTCATGGTGAAAACGGACATCAAAGTTAATAAAAAAAATAAGATTTTTGTAAAAAAAATTTTTTTATATTTTTAATTTTATAATGCTATAACTTTTTGAAAAATATATGAATCAATACAATTTTTTTATGATAAATACTATTTATATACCTCTTTCATTGGACATACTTTTTTTTTTTAATAAAACCATCTCTCTTTATATATTTATTCATATATTACAATTATAAATCATCAAACTAGTAATCAGGATATAAATAAGGAAATAGGAGATTGTTTAGCTTTTGAAATAAACCATCAATTTTTTAAAATTAAATATTATCTACAGATTTCTATCCAAGCGTTTTTTGTGATAGTGATTTTAATCACTGTCAGATATTATAATACTTGACCAAACTATGCCACGTCCCCACTGTGCCGCGACCCCACTGTGCTGGGTTTTTTATTTTACTATTCTTAGAAAAATATTCTATGAATTTTATATGTTTCATATTATTTTGGACTCTCGTTTTAGTAATTAGTAAGTAAAGAACCTAATAAGATGTACATTTAAAAATATCCATGACATAAATTATAGTAAACTCATTAGAATTTGTAATCAATAACGTGTGCATTTAATTTGTTTAAATTTTTCTCATAAATTAATGAGTAACATTTTAATTGAGATAGTATTTATTAGTTGAAATAAATTATATACGTTTATTTATATGTTTGTACATGTTTATATGTATAGTATCGTTAAATACTGAAATGTATTGTCACCATTAAACTTCAATAAAATTCTTAGCATTCAAAATAAATAAATATACATATATACGTATATATATATATATAGTAATGAATCCAAGAAAACATTGTTTTATCCCATTTATATAAAGTTAAATGATTACAAATTCTTAAAACGTTTTTCATTTGAACAATTCAACAGTCATTTTTTATGACTACTAAAGGAATTCACTAACCATTATATTTTGCGATGTATGTGGTAATACTTATGAATATTAATAGATTAAAATGCTTAAAACTTTATATTTATTTGTCCTAAAATTATATCGACCCATCAAAAATGTTTCTAAGAAAAGTGTTAAAGAATTTCTAATTTGAAATGTTGAAAAAATAAACAAATATATTTTTCTTATTATAGACAAATTATAATAAAAAAATGATTTTAACGTAATCTAAAATCATAATTATTATTAAAAATAAAAAGTAAAGAAAAATATTTGCTGGTTAAAATGTTATTAATGATGTCAAAACATGATAGGACACTACGTATATGTTTTTTATGCATGATTCTTTCTTATCACACATGCATAGTATAGATATGTGCAGTAAGTAAGGAAACGGGTCAACTGTTACAAACAACTAGAATAATAGAAACCGTTTCCCTGAACACCTAATATAAAAAGAACAGAGATGTACAATTAAGGACTAACACGTGGCGATTAATTGTCGAACAAATACCGGTTCGCCCGATAAAACACAATAAATGATGTTATATTCTTCTTCAAGTGGTATGTGAGAGACACACAGTTAAATATGTGTGCTGGTGAAATTCTACGGACAATATTTACGCGGTCAGTTTTATATATACTGAATGTGTTGATCAAGAATTATACATAAAACTTAAGACTTAATGTAATAATTCGGTATATATTCGTTGAGTAGACGCGATTTTATCTATTTCATTTGCGCATAAATACTGTTTGTTTGTACTGTCATAAGTACTGTGCGTTCAACGCTATTGTACCTACATGGACTGAGACGTTTTTAACATGGTTTGTTTCGAATAGAGTATTAAAACTAGTAAATTTTGCCATGGTAAAATAGTTTCAACATTTAAATTTAATTTTCGATGCAGCACTTTGATGCAAATGTTAACATTATAATCATATATCGTCGTCGTCGCACGTGGCTTTTGAGTCTAAGATAAGTGCGAGGAGGCCGCCAGTCAGCATCGATTTTTCCATCGTTTTTCGCACTGACACGTACAACGGGCCTCGGTGCCCTTGGTTAGAGTACAAGAGTAGTGTAACGACCGCGGTATCGCACGCCGTAGACGAACAGCTGATCCGCCGGAAAACTCGTGACTAAGTCGGTAGTTGCTCGCTCGCCATTAGTGTAGCCGTCTCGACGGTCGACAACGGTCCGTGACGCGACGCCGTCAGTTTTACCGAGTTATTACCACTCGCATTTGAATTTTCCTTGAGATTAATCCGAGAGGTACAGGGAAATCATTTGAGTGATACCACTACTGCGCACGGCAGTTCGTTGGGTAATTACAATTTTCCCGATTATTAACGAAATTTCAGTGCTCTCTCTTGTTGTTGTTATCGTCGACCGATTAAAAGACGAAATGTGCGATTTTCCGCGTGACATCGTGTCGTTTCACTCGGTCGGATTCGGCTCTGATATCTTCACATCAATCGCTAGTTTCCACCCGTCGTTTCTGCAACTTGCCCGGGTGTCATGATCATTAGGCATCTGTTGAGAGGTACATCATAACTATACACTATCGCGAGCATGACATATCAACTAATAAAATACTAGACAATTGGCCGTATAAAAAACAACGCAAATGTATAGTAGTAGTAACGATTATTTACACGCGTTACTGGGAAAATAACACTAATAGGAGATGGTGTAACGCAACGGTTATTTCAATTTTTTAGAGCATAATAGTAGTGATAAAATGGTCATTGACGTGACGTTCTAGTTCCACATAAATGGTTTTATTTTCCATTCGTTAATGTGAACAGCCAAGTGTCCGCTGTCAACATGAAATTCGTCAACTTTCCTTAAACAACAAAATTCCACTGTCGGTTTAGACCCATAGTTTGGTGGAACGCATATTTTTGTCTTTATGTTTAATTTAACATTTGCTGTCTTTCCAGTCTGAATGAAATTTACTTGCTTGAAAAAATAGATATGTACTCGTTCGAATAGTTCATTGAATCGATGTCCTATGAAAACGTCAACTAAACGAGCATTTTAATAACGTAACTTTTAATATTTTTAATACAATTTGAAATTAAACAATAATGCTCTATAATTTTCCTGAACAATGGAAATACCGCAAATAAACAAAATATGCGTAAAAGGGTACCTCATTTTTACGAGACAAATTAAACTTCACTCTTTTTGACAGTTTTAACACAGCAATTAATACCACATCCAAATTCACAAAACATTACCTAAAACACAAGTTGTGGAAGACATTTTCCATATATTTATCGACTATCAAATAGATTACGTTTGTCATCAATAAATTTAGCTAGTAACTTCGAACTGAATAATTTATACGCAATTTAAAATATTACAAACATAAAGTAACCAAACATTTAAAACCGAATTTAATAAATTGAACCCTTAAAATATCTTTCAGTGAAATTGCCCTAGGCCAATTTTATTTTGGAACGGTAAATAAAGTTATATAAACAAGCAATATTGTCCAGTCTAAAATTAAACTAAAGACTAATTTATGTTTATAAAAGGGCAGAAATTTAGTATACTTAACGCGTTCAAAACTCGTTCGATATAAATAATCAGAATAACACTCACATAATGTTCATGTTAAGGGAATTAAAAACTAAATAATACGTTTAATCAGCAGAAAATATAGTGATTTAGACATAAAATATTTCTAATTTAGAATTCCCAAACTCTCCTTCGTAATCTATCCATGTCTAAATTCTGTAAATAGGCATTATAAAATTGAAGTGTCTAACATCATAGTGTTTTTCTATTCTTAAATGAGATTCTTCCATGTAAATAAATTATTTTTTACATTTAAAATATAATTTATCGCTATGGAATAATAGTCACGATAAAACGCGGGAGCTCTTTGTAGCACTGACATTGACAATTGCGATTTAAAAAACGTATGACTATTTGTGCATATCGAGATCAACGAAATTATTATAAATTTGTGGTTTCGTTTTTTAGATTTTTAATAATCAAATTATTACAATTATTCCAATATTTTAGAAACTGACTTTTATGAATAAAAAAAGATAAATTTTTTGGATAAAGTGTAGTTACAATGTTAAAAATAAGTGAAATAGTTTTGACCTAAAAATATGTTCGAACTTTCTACATTTAAATAAAACTGAGTATTATTAATTAATGATAATTTGTAAAATTATATGAATGAAATAGAATAGAATAATGTGTATGTATAAACTATTCATTTAAAAATGTTCTTGCTTTATGCAGTTATTATTAAATAATATTTATATTAACAATGTTATAGTTTTATGTTACGTCATAACAAACAAGTAAAGAGATATCGTAAAGTTGTTTAGGTAAAGTTATAATTTATTATGGTTTAATAAATATTTGCAAGAAAACATTTTCGTTTGTGTATATGTGTAATAAACCTCGTTTACATTACTGTAATACACGGTGGCCTTAAATTTGAAAATACACAAATTATCTTATTATATTTAATTATATTTTTCATTAACCTCTTAAAATTCTTATCTTTTTACGTTGGATGTATTCATGAAAACTAAATTATGTACTAAACAAATTTCACTTGTAAATTATTTTACTAAATAATAGTTAAGTAAAAGTAATAAATGATCATAATATGATAAATGGTTCATTTTGTGACACTTGGTTCATCCCCTTGTCTAGATCCCATTCCTCTCTAAATGCATTTCTGTTTATAGATACTGTATATTTTCATATTACAACTTGTTCTTTAAAAAAAATTATGAAACACTTCAAAGTCATTATAGTCTCAAATTAGTGTAAATTAATTTAAAATTATCTTACCGTGTAAAATTTATCTTTAATTGTAGATCTTTGTGTGACACCTAATATATATATAAATATAATTATGCATAAAAATATTTTTTTTAACTTAAATAGCTCATAATGTTATCTTACATTTCTATTGTGATACGATGTTAATAGAAAATTACTTTTTGTCAAAATTACTTTCAAGGAGCTCTAAACTTGTTGATGTAGTAACCAACAAACACAGTTTTCTCAAACCAAATTTTTTTTATCTTATTACTGAGTAATAATAAATTTGCCTTTTGACAAAACTTTAATTTTGAACTTAAATTATTCGCATGAACTAATGTAATAACAAATAAAATTATTTATTAAATATTGCGTATCGTATAAAGTTTTCAATGAAATTAAAACTAATTATCATAAAAATCTAAAGTTTAAGAAGAAATATTTCTTGCATAAATATCATGAAGCAATTGATGTTCTTTTATTTATTGCTTGTTCTTATTGTACAAGATATATTTCTGAAAAACGGTTAGTATCCGTTTAGATTTCAGTGTGCAATAAAAATTGATAGACTACAATAAGTCAATTGTTAACATTAAGAAAATTTTCATTTTTTATTTATTTATTTTTACGGACAATATACAACAAGAGCACAAACATTACAAAATATAACAATATAATATATTATTATAAAATGAATAAGCTAAAAAACTTAATACAATAACAGACAACAAGACAAATAATGTATATAATAAACATATTAACTGAATAAAATATTATTTAATTGATTACTTATAGAAGTCAAAATAATAATGAGTGCAAAAAATCATCTTTATTTGTATAATATTCTAGTTAAATTTTTTTTATCATTTATTGGTGTAAATACCAATAAATGATGAATACCTTAGATCAAAGAGAAATCGTATTAAAATGAGTGATATGCCAATTTAAAATGGGGTATATTAAATTCCCTTTTTACAGAAAAAAAATTTAATAAAATTTAACTATTAATAATAAATATTTTAAAGGAAAACTTTTGCAGCTTTTATTATGCATTAAATTAGTACATTCAAAAAAAAAAAAAAATCTCTGTAATAAATATGCTAACTCTTAATTAAATCATTATTTACTAATTAAGCTAGTTTAGTATGTATGTTTTAAAAATTACACTATTAATCTAATAATACATATGGGATGAATATAGAAAATATTTCATGATTGAAAAATTAAGAAATAAACCATACAAAAAAAAACTCGATTTATTTTTCAATTAATTAAAATAAAAACTATTTTTTGGAATACCATTATCATTCATAAATAATATGTATTTTTATAATTTCATTATCTCAATAATTGTACATAAGGCTTAATGTGAAGTATAATAAAATATAATCTAAAAATACATTGATGAAAAAATTTTCAATTTCACTGTTGTTATTATTATTATTATTATTTTTTTTTTTGTCATTATATACAAAAGTGATTTGTAAGTTTCAGAATGAAAAGAAACTAAAAAAAAATATTTTGTCCCTAATAAATGATGATGAATTATTTCATCCTGAAATGTTACATTTTTCTTTAAAAAAACAACCAAAAACTTTTTCACTGTTTTGGCTGGTTTCACTTATTTTATTTTTCGTTGTTGGTATTAACATTCTCAAGGAATGTAAACTTGTAAAAATTTAAAAACATAATAAGAAAATATTATTTGAGTTTATAATATTTGAGTTGTCTTAAAAACTATTTATTATTGTTAATGTTTACAAGTTTATTATCACTTTGAATTTCCAAGAAGTTAGTTTAAAAAAAAAAAACGTTTAAATTAATGTGTGTTTAATTCAAAATTTCAACAGCTATATAGACGCGATACTATTGTATGAGTGACATTTAAAATTATTCACACATTTTAATGGCAAAATATTTAACAAGGTAACAAAATAACTTTTGCACTTGAAAATAAAGAAATTTAGTTATACGAATATTCGTTACAGTATCTGGGAAAAGATGGCCCATAGGGAGAAATTAATTGTTATCAATAAGGTATTTTGATTTTAAATTATAGACAAACTGTTTAGTGTTTATTAATTTACTCTAATCATTACTAAATTGATGAACACTAAAAAGTTTGAGCATATTTTAAAATCTAAATAAAATATTGTTAATAAATCATCTTGCCTTAAGTTATTCTAAATAAAAAAAAACAAAGAACAATTAAAAAGTAATAAATTTATGTGGTACGTCAAGTTTTCTTAAGTTATAGGCTTATTGCGCTCAATAATGTAACAACTTTACTATTGTAAAGAAATATGTTTTGTAAATGTTTACATTGATTATACTTATAAATTGAAATATACAAAAAAAAAGTGTAAATTATATTATGACATTAACAATAGTAAAAGTTATTTTGCAATGATAATTGTATACAAAGTACTTGTGTATAAAATCAAAAACAAACGTTCGTAAATCTCATTTTAAGATTAAGCTTTTCATTTGACTGGTTTCAATATTTGACTGAATAAGCCATTCCACTCGTGTGTTGATTGAGCATTACGTATCAAACATTTCCTATGTCATATTTTTATGCAATCGATATATTAGTTACTGATTTTTTCCAGCCAATGGTGACTCATTTTGAGTTTCTTTCTGAAGACGATGTTCTTTGAAAAAGATAATAAAGAATTCCAAGTATATATAATTCGATAATATAAACGGGAATATATCAACCTCCTTGATAAGCCTGTTGAAGACAAAAAAGTTTATATATTTTTATTACGTAATGCTTCTGTGCCAATTATAATCATTTATCTGTTCTATTTTCGCGTGATCTGAGTATCTCACGTTGAAAATATTATTAACACTTCTAACGAAAAAATAATGGTTTTATAGAATTAGCCGTGTAGTTCGACTTGGGAAGTCATCCAATATACAATTTGCCTTCTAATATTACACGGTTTATGGTTTTTTTTTTTTTTTTTACACGTCTGACTTATTTTTATATTTTACGACCAAAAAAATATTTCTTTGCGAAGGATCATGTTTTACTTGCCTTCTAGATATATTCTTGCCGCAGGTATATACTTTATTATTGATTCAAATATTAATGTATTCAAAATGAATTATGAAATAATTTTCTGAGCATATTAACATTAAGAAGTTTTCATTTAAGTATCGTGTTCAGAAATACTTTCAAAAAACAAAAGTTCTTCTTATAAAATGCTTTTAATTGAAATTGCAAGAAATAGTGTCGTATTTCACCACATGGCTTTGGTAAAAAAAAATCAATTTTTTGGTGGGCTTTAATTTTTTTAAATAGTGTGGTTCAAGGATATTTAGAATTTTTAGAAAAAATATAAATTGACTTTTTGATACATCTACACCGACACTAGGTTACTGACATAAAAATGAATTGTATGAATAATTTGTCATGGAAGCAATACTTAAAAACGTTATAGCTTTCGATGGTGAAGTGTTTCGGTGAGAAATAGTCTATTCGGTACCTAGACAAAAATTAATATTTTTTATTTCATTTTTCGGCGTATCTTATTGTTATTAATATTTTTTTATATTTTAATACACTGAAGTTTTCATTGTACTATTTTGACGAGGCTAATCTACACTGATATCAGACACAACGAAACATGTACACAGTCACATGTGTAATAATAACATTATAAATTATAATTTAAAATTACAATATTTAATTTTTTTTTCAAGTTACAAGTTATTAAGACTTGCATGTTATTATGGCTACTAAGTATTGTCGTTCAAATGTTTTTCTTCATTCATCAAATAAAACTCATTTAGAAACTTTTGTTGTGATACCCTCAATTTACTGTAGAATGTCCAAACTAATTAAACACCTGAGAAAACATTTAGTACATATTGTAAAATGTTAAACTTATTCAACGTATAATTTGTTTTAAAATATAATAATAATAATAGAGACATAACAGGTTGTTTGAAAATGTTACTGTCATAGTTAAATTTGATATGTTTTTATGAAAATGAAGCATAAAGTAATATTTCTGCCAAAAACTTTTATGTATGACACACAATTATCACGAGTGTAATTTTGAGAGTTTACCGGGACTCACATCCCTCTCCGCCATCGCTCATCCTTACCTTGGTTGGCAAGGGGAATCGAATGAAACCCAAGTAAATTAATCCAAGATGAGGGGGGAAATGAAACCTAAACAAACCCAACGTAAACTGACACAACTTCGACGGTTGTACCGCCTTCCCCATCATTGCGCATCAATGTGTAAACCTAACTTAAACGGATGGAAATGCAATATTCGCTGGTTTTATTCCCCCAACATTGGTAGAACTAGTTGTAGGAAGAGAGGGGAAACAAGTTCTGTGAACTCTTAAAATCACACTACTCATTGCTAAATGAATTATAGTGCCATTAAAGCAACCAAAATTGAGTTCATGTCGTTTCACCCACTTTGCTTCGACTAAATTGAATTAACCAGTGTATTATAATATTTTTGTTTTAAATTAAATTTCCAAGTGTATGTTTGCTTATTTCGTAAGTTTGTTATATCTTAATTGGCATAATTCCACATCTTGAAGCACTTTACAATATTTGCAGTGATTCCCATTAACTAATACTAATTACCATCGATAAAATGAGTTTGTACGTCATAAAACTAATTAGGACATACTGTTCCGATTTAAGTAGCAGTTTACAGATTTCAAAGTACCCAATAGTAAAAAAAATCCTTCAATTACCACTGGAATCATTGTTATTCGAAATTTTCCATGCACGTGTAACAAAAAGTTTTTATCCGCTCTATTACTAACAACCTGCGCTCACACATCTTTGTGATTTTCTTCGTGTAGAACTTTTTTGTATACAATAATGTCGTTTTTAACGTGAAAAAGTTTGACAGTTGACAATAACTAATATTTCTCTTATATATGCAACAACCGAAAATCCTCTTACGCACATACGAATACTTTTTTCACAATATTCTGTCACTAAAATATACATAGTAATCGATACAAAAGCAAAAAAAATATATAGCAACCAGTAGTATAACGTACAAATGTATAACAACTGTATTATGTACACTAATGATTTATTTGTTGCAATACAAATATTAATAATAATATTATTTCTAAAATGCTGGCTTTATTAGTTAATTATTTACTCTAAATATACAATTTATAATTTTAATAATTAACCAATTTTAATGAACTATTAATGATATCTCATTGGAAATAATAATAATTGTTAAGTTTATTATACGTATACCAGTGCAAGGTTAAGTACTTTGGTGGCCGCAAATTATTCAGGTGTACTTAATTGACTACTAGGTGATGTCAATGTTATGCATTATGATGTAGAATAAAATTAAAATTTTAGAACCAGGAACTTATGAGAATAACCGACAGGTAATATAAATTTGAACCATCGAATAATATCGATGGGCACTTGGAAATCGTTAAAAAGAAGTTGAATACCTTCAAAAAACAACTTTTGCGACATCATTTAGAGAGACTTAGGAATATGATCAAATAAATTAGTTTTTATGAATTTTTGGTACGAAATTTAAATCTCACAAATTTTATTTAAAATTTGCAATATTTGTACTCACGTGATGAATACGTCTGGACTTCTAATCACAAAATTTATGATACAAAATCTGTATCTTTTTCAATTTATTATTACTTTTTATTTATATACAATCTTATTCTAAAATTTTCAATTTCTCATAAAAAAGAAAATTATTTATTAACTGGAATATCATTATGTGCGAAATACATTCATTACTCGCAGGTCGAAGGTAAACAACCGTTTAGCATGTAATAAAACATTAACAAATGTAATAACTACTAATAGTAACTACTTTAAGCAAACAAATGTTAACTATAAAATAATTTTTATTGTCTTAATATATTGATAAATTTGTTAACTTATTCGACAAAAATACAGAACAACAATTTAATAAATCATAACGAAGTAAAATATATTAGATACATTTATTGTAATATATTAAACATTTTAACTGGGTTCATTATATTTAAATAGTAAATTTCATCTCATTTACAATTTATCACTAAGGTCTTCCGATAATTTCATTTAAACTTTAATAAAAAAAAAAAAAAAAAATAGTAAAATTATATACAAGACAGTTTCATTGTTTTCAATAAGTCGAGATTTCATAAATTTGTATTTGTGGTTTATTTTTTTTAAGTAAAATAAAGAATATTGACATTTTTGTTTTTATAATTTAAAATAATAAATTCTTCACTTATACTAAACTATAATGAATTTGGAATAGTTAATCAGCATTTGTTAAAAATTAATTTTTGTGAATTTAATATCGAAATTTATTATTTTGTTTAAGTTACTTTAAAACATCGTCAATACGAGTACTTTATAAAAGTCTAGTACTTCTAAACTACCAAAATTAGCTGTCTAATTTCACTACTTTATAGATTCTAAAGAGAAATGTTAGGTCGTTTATGGCGTTTAGTAAATAAAACGAGGTATATCACGTGACAAAAATAATCATTAGGTTTAACAACTGAACCCGATAAACGTTCTAAAGTGTATATTTACTTGAGCGTTAATCTGTAAGCTGAACAATTTCATTTTATACGTGTACAGTAAATAATTGTATAATAACAAATAAAATTAGAAAAGTATTCCCAAGCGTATTACTTTATGATCGGCGCTTAGTATAGGCAATTTAGTTACCTCCGAGAGCGTAACTTATTTATAGAAACTTCTTTCGTTGAAATTTGCTTATCAGGAAAAATTCATTATTATTTATAACCAAAATTTTTTTATTATAGTTATTTAGTTTTATTAAACTTGTCTTACTCTTATTATTCAACTTCCTGTATGAATTCCGTGAACATCAAAACAAATAGTACGATCTTGAATACCTTGATTTAAAAAAAAAATAATAATAAGACTACTATCAATATTATTTTTTAACTTATTAAAAGTATTTCAATATTTCTATTTTATTTATTTATTTTTATTAGTCCATTAAGGGCCATAGCGATCTCCCCATAAGAGGAGGTTTTCTTAACCATTTATACTTTAGGACGGGTAGTTAGTCCGTTGCCGGAGAGTGGGATGGCGACACCAATTATCGAACTGATCTCTCGTTTAGCAAATGAAGACGCTCGTGAGAGAGTTTCGAACCAGAGACAGTGCGCGTCAAGGATTGCCGCATTACCGACTAAGCCATACCGTCCCATATTGTATTTTATTATATAATATAAACTACTCTTAGTGTTAAACAACAGACTTAACCATGACAAAAATTAAATGACGGAAATTTAGAGGGTTTCAAATAAATATTTTTTTAGTTTAAATTTTTTACTATGAAAAATATAATTCATACATTGTGATTTATTAAAATGTATTGCAATTTATTATATAATTTGTTATTAAAATTTACTGAAATTTATTTTAATTTTAAAATAGAATAATTCTGATGATCATTAAATATATCATGTGAAATTAACTATAATTTCGTTCTTTAACAAAATTAATATCTAGAACATGTTATCAGCTATGAAAAAATTAAGCAGTGTTACAGATATCAATGCACAATATTTTTACACTGATTTTCTGTCAATATTAATCACATATACCAATTTAAAAAAATTAAAAATTAAATTTGTGCATTTATTTAAGAAAGCATTCAACTTTTTCAATTTAAATATTAATTTATACAACAGGTAGAAATGATATAACGATTTTAAATAAGACTCCACGTCTGATAAATGCAAACCACGAATTTATTATCACGATATTCTTAAGTGATACTTTATACATTATATTCCCATTGCTTTAAATGTCATATTATTTATAATATCTTTATTTTAATAGTGCTATATAATAGTTAATTTATTTTGAAGTCTAAAAATCACTATGAAAAATTTTAAACAAAAGTTAACTTGAAAATATAAATTTGTAAAACCTTTTGTAGATTGTAGTATTACTTGAAATGTTTACAGATGTATCCACGTTCTCAGTTATAAGGTGACGTTTCGGATTCGTTGCAGAGTCCATCTTCAGAGTGATAGTTACAGGCTTGTAGTTATAACTATACTGCCGGCTTAGCTTGTTTACGGTTTGTTTTTATATCAGTTGATAATTGATAATCGATGTTGTTTGTTGTTTACATCCGGTTTTTGTTATTGTATACAGTATTCTTGGCATTTAGTTCTTATTTTTTACACCAGAAATTTTATATTGCGTTAGTTATTCTTTGTTGTTTGTTGATTTTATTTTTGACTATGTGAAAAACTACGACTAACATAACAAAAAAATTGTTGGTGTAAAAAAATAAGACCTAAATACCAAGAATACTGTGTACAATAACAATAACAAAAACCGGATGTAAACAACAAATGACAGTTGGTATGAATAACACGACTAAATAAAACAACAGATAAACAATATCGACGTTATCAATTATCAACTGATATAAAAACAAACCGTAAACAAGCTAAGCCGGCAGTATCGTTATAACTACGAACCTGTAATTATCACTCTGAAGATGGACTCTGCAACGAATCCGAAACGTCACCTTATAACTGAAAACGTAGATAACATCTGTAAACATTTCAAGCAATAACACGAAGATTTTAAAACGCAACAATTTTTAATAAAATTGTACATATAGTTCGATTTATATAAAAGTGTCTCTTGTGCTCTAATATTCTAAAAGCCTTATTTCATAATAAATGACAGATTATATAAGTAAAAGAATTACCTCAAACTTTAAAAGTATAACAAATCGATATTTAAAAAGTTCTCAAATTAATCCATCGACAGAAAATTTATTACTTTTTAAATAATCTAATAAATTAACTACTACAATTTTTGAGTTATAGAATTATATAAACTTATGAATATTTTAAATATAAAATGTTTATTGATGGTATATAGATAATCTCAAAAATTAAACGCTATACTTTGACATTGTCAATTATAATATTGAAACATTCTGCGAACATTATATGTAATACACTATTAAAAGTTTTTACCTGTATGAAACGGTTATTCAAAAAAGTAGATATAATTTGGCTCTCTTTATCTGCCTATTGAAATATTAAAAATCTATTTTACAAATCAATATACTTTGTAAGATTAGGAGAAAAATGGATAATGAGAACTTCCCTTATTATTATTTGATTAGATCATAAGCAATTTATTTTTTTATAGCTTATAAAATATAGCATTTTCATAGTTTGATAATTATCTTTTATTACTGTTATTTATGAAAAGAACAGTTTGTAGAAATGGTGCAATAAGTTTTGAGTTATACCAGAATCAATCATGAAACGATGGGCTATAAGGATTAAACACTTGATTTATAGAAATGAACATTTTGTATTATACATTCAAGAGAAAATGTAACTTTTTAGTATAAAAAGGTTTTGTAAAACTTGATATAATCATAATTACCATAAAAGACATATTCAGAAGTTATGGCTTCAAATCATCCTATATCAACTTATAACCATTAACTTCATTTGTTTAATCTATTGTGTGTCAGTGTATTTTACTACATGCAAGTACCATGTATATCTCAAACTGATTTAACAAACCCGCATTTAGGGATTTGTTGTCACGTGCCCTTACCAGTAGGATTAGGAAAGGTGCGATTGAGACTTAACAAATTACACTTTTTGCTTTTGGTAACGGATTAAAATTAACACCGTTAACGCATCAACAATCTGCCATCCAGATTATTATTGCTTGAGTTCACAAATTTTTCTTTTGTCAAAACCCAAAAATCTAGTTTCTATTATTTGAGTTAAGTATTATTCCTGATTAAAATCCTTATTATAATAAAAATTATTTTAACTTATTTATAATAAAATGAATGAAATATTTTTCGATATATAAAATGTAAAAATATTTTTATTACTTTACAAGATTTACGTGTTCTAAAATTAAACTTTACTTCAAAGTCTCATTGAACTCTCATATCTAATAAATAATAAATAAAAAGGTTGTGATTTACAAATTTTTCTCTATAGCCAGTAATAATTTATATAATCCAAATTTTATCCGCATACAATATTATACGAGTCATTTTTATTATATTTAATGACGTAAAAATCTTGTTGAGTAAATACACCTCGTTGACTAGTATAAAGTTGTTATAAACTGCCCAAAAATTAGGATTCAATATAATATCTGAGTAAATCAAAACTTCAATAAATTGAAAGTGGCATTTAAAATTGAGTTATGTATTTCGTGAAAATCTCTTCTAATTTTATTGCCGTTTCATTGAAGATAATTTTTTGGCCTTGTAAGCTAGGAAGTAAAATTTTAGCTATCTAATTAACAAATTTTATTTTAATTATCATTATACTGTTACCTTATAATCGGAGTCAATTATTTACGTATGGATTTTGTTAAAGGCATCCTATAAAAGTCAATGCCTTATAGAAAATTTATTTTAATGTAAAAATTATATAAAATAAAATTTTACCTCTGATGAAGTAAACATAAAAAATCAAAATGAATTATTCATATATCCTTGAAAACAATTGTCTACTCTATACAAAGGTAAATTTTGTAAAAATAAGTAGTGATTTTCAATGTGATTAAACTTATATGCATAATGAAATTAAAAATTATATTTAAAAATTGTATGATAACACAACAATATTATATTCATAATAATGTAGTTTATGAAAAAAATTAGTTTAACTATAAGTGAATATCTTTTTTATTGTCCTTTCATTGAATCAATCATTCTTCGTCAATACGCTTAGTTATTATTTACTGTAGACACACTACTATTGATTGTTAATGAAGTTATCTTTTCATTATCTCATTTACCTTACTATTGATTTCACTCTAAAAAAAGTAAAATTTACTTTTACTGATACAAAAGCATATACCTTATATTATTTTTTAAAGTATCTTAGGTGATGGATGCTCTATTCGGAATTTTTTCATGCCATTTTCAATTACAAAGGCTTATATTTTATCTTTATTTGTTTTTTATTGTACCTTTTCGTTGTTGTCACATGCCATTTTATAGATATTCGCGATGTGTTATTTAACATCTGTGTTTTTTTTTTTAACAAAGAAAAACTTACCATTACTGTAATAGTGTTATTACTAAATAACAATATAGTTACCACAAGTGTTAATATAATAGATTTTAAAGAAATTATTTTTCATAAAATAAAGTTTTTTATTGTTTATTTATTATTTTCTCATTAATTATTTCGCTTTTAAATCATCTTGAAGTTCAATCCAATATTTCACAAAAAAAAAAAGTACCAAATTAGCACTCAAACATTTTTTAGAACATGTTTCTATAATTTGTTAAGAGATAATTTTGTTTTTGTTGTTGAATAAGTAGCTGAAATTTTCCATATGACGTTTTAAAATTTTCAATAATACTTAATAGAAGATATTAAACATAGTTTAATTTTTATTCATTGTCCTTTTCATTTTTTACTTATACTTTATAGGTATTTATGTATTTAAATATCTTAATAAGTTACTCTCCTGTGTAAAAACATAGAAAATATATAGAATTACATTGGTTTTTTTTTTTTTGTAATCAAATAAACTCGATGAAGCCGAGTTTGTTTTTAATCTTGTATCTTATCTTTGGTCTTTTTCTTGCTAATAATTATAGTAGCGATGAAATGATGGGGTCATTTACATAATGTCAATATTCTTATTTAAAACCACAGAAAAATTCAAAACGCATTTCATTGTAAAAGGAAAAAGTATTGTTCGGTAGATTTACACTAATCACAAAATTGTATTCAGAATACTAAAACTTAATAATCATCTATCAGCCGATTGAAGGAAGCCATTTGTAAGCAGATTATACTCCAGCGAGATCTCAAGAAACTAATTAAATTTTCTATTAATAATTTTCAAGATGCAAGTCACGAAATGTGACCTAATTATTTGATCTATACAAAAAAACTACTAATTTTTTTTATTTTATAATAAGTTATTCTATATTTAATGAAGATTTTTTCAGTAAAAAAGTAATTACAATTTTTGATATATTTAATAATTAAATAATTATCACTCATTTCTAATATTGTGTGTGCCTTAATAAATTGCTTATAGTAGTTATGGATACTGTCTAAAAAATATTATACATATGTAAAAAATTTTTCTGTAAAACTCACACAACTTAGTAAGTAAAACATCACCATAATCTCTCGCTGCTCCTAGTCTCTTTATATTATCCGCATTACCAGAGCGTCGACACGTTTCCTTAGAAAAAATAAGATTTTTATTTTCAATGACACGAATGGCCGACGTTGTTATCCGATTTTTTTGCCGCCAAATTGAAAATTATGACTGATTGCTGTAATATATACCTACATATCATGCAGTATCACGTCTAATATAGTGCACATTTTGTTTGTACGTATAACACAATAACTTCAGTTACAAAAGAACTAAAATGGAAACTGCACCTGCTGTAAAATGCGCGTATTACCGTTGACAAGTAAAGTTTTCTTTTTTCTATAAGAAATACTGTTTTTGGTGCAAATTTTTTGCCAACAATATATTTCTCACTAGTTTTAAAGCGTAAAAGTATGTTGAGAATGATAAACATAACATTCATTTTATAGTATTCCGGGAAAAATATGTTGTATAATTTGATTACAAAGGAGTTGTTTGAAAGTTGTGACATTTAAAAACCTTTGTGACTTATCCAACATGTTCATACGTGTTTTGAGATCTTAATTAAGATAATAAATGGAATTGACAACCCAAGCAGTGTCTTTGATATCATTAGACGAACATGCTCAGTAAAATGAAGTTCTGTACTCAACAAAGTAATATAATACTTGATAAAAATATCTAAAATATATAAAAATCAGCTCTGACTAAACTTAATTTCATTAGAATATTTTTTTTTTGTCTGAATTACAGAACAATAAATCATCTTTTTTTATATCTAGAAAAAATAATTCACTTGAATGTAATATAATGGCTTTAACTTTGATCTCTAAAAATGAATCAGTTTAGGTTTCGCTTTTTCTTCCATAGCTATTGATGATAATTAATAACCAAATCAACATTTACTTTAGGTATATATATATTTATTGAAGTAGGGTCGAATTGAAAAATAATAGTATCTACTAAATATTTCAAATTTATTTATTTAACTTTTTTTTATGTCAGGAGGCAATGTAAAATATATTTAAAACAAAGTTGTAAACAAATGCAACACCAAATTAACGGCTACAATACTTACTTATAACTATTAAAAAAGAAAAAAATAATAATAAAAACAATAATAGTTAAAAATGTTAATATTTAAATTCTGCAGACAAAAAATTAAACTATTGATTTATTTTACTTAATATTATCTAAACTATGAAAAAAGAAATCAATGTTGCAATGTACGAGGCCGTAAGACGGCTAGTTATGCACTGCATTAGATTACCGCCTTGCAATAAGCTTGTTTGATTTATATAGGAACAAGGACAGAGATTACCTGGGTGGATTCCGATTAAACACACATCCAATAAATGACGTAAAAACAATAATTAAATAAGAATAAATAAAACAAAAATATTAAAATTTCCTTCGATAAATAAGATTAAAATAAAGAGGCGCAGGAATGACCTAAAATTGACGACAAAGCGGCTATGGACAAAATAGAAAAGATATAACATAAGACAAGCGATTAAAGACTTGGCTGTTTAACGTAGAATAGATGAATGATGAATAATGGCGGCGGTAGGAGTGAACTGTATGTATAATTGCGTTGAAATGTTGAAGATAAAAATGAAATGGTTACTACAAGGGAAGCCGCTAAAGAAGTAAATACTTCAGTCACAAACATGGTCGAACACTAAAGGAATGCAAAGCTTAAGGGAATCAGGGCACAACAAAATGCATGGCACACTATAGCCGAATAATAAGTGAAGACTCTTGCTATTTAAACGAAAAAAAAAACAATAAGTTGAGAAACGACGGTGGAGTGTATACGGCGGGCAATTGACGCATAAGCCGTCGTCGATTTGTCGTGCTAGGTGGACTAGAGTGAGTAGGTAAATAAAAGCGCTAGAGATTAGCTGTCATGCGATTTGATGTACTCGACGGTGTTTGTGACAACTGGTCCACTAGGTCTTTGTTAAAGGCGTTCTCTACCAAACACATATCATGAATAAATTTTAAGTGGAAGTATTTTCGTCTCTAATATCAAACAAATTAAAGCACAGTATAAAGTTTTTAATCAATTTAAATGACAGAAAACCCAACAGTGTCGCTTAACAAATCCTATCATGGGCATAGCTTTATACTATATTGATATTATTCGATTTTTAAAAGATTATTTAAATGAAATAACACCTAAATCTTTAAAGAAATCACGTTTTAACAATTTTTCATAAATAAAATAGAGATGGTAAACTGTTGAACTACTTCTATTAAAAGTAAAGCAATAGCATTTCGAAACACTAAGATGGATGTCATTTAAGAGTCACTAATTTAAAAATCTATTCAATTCATCTTGAAGTAATTTAAAATCCGAATTTGAACAATTAGGCAAAGCTTTAAATAATCAGAAAATAATGAAAATTTACAATTTTGGATTGAAAAATTAATATCATTTATGAATAATGAGAATAATAAAGACAAAGGTTTTATTTGAGGGACACTACAATTTTTATTTTTACTTGAAGTATTTTGTTAAATAGAAATGAATTAATCCAAGAGAAAATATCTCGAACACTATAGAATTTAAGTTTTCGTAATAGTAAATTGTGACTAACTTGGTCAAATGTTTTTTTCGAGTCAGAATAAATTACATCTACTCGACTACCTCTTTTAACATTCAAAATGTTCAAAAACGTTAACAGCGCGTAAGCATTAAAAAATGAATGATTTAACAATTATACAAGTACATCTTCAAGACCATGAGGCTCTTTGGTAAGTTTTCGGAAACCTAATAATGGGGTCGGAACCGTTTTATTTCCGTAATAGCAGCGCTATATTATTTTCATTCTCGACCACCTGTAATAACCAGAAGCGTTTCAATGTTGATTTTAGTTCTCAAGACTGCGATTGTTTATTCACCTAGCAAACTGCTGTAGGAAATGAAATTCCCATTTTAGCTTTGATTCGAAGCGTTTCCGGAATACGACAATATAATTTTTGATTTCTATTTTAGCTTATATAATAATTCTAATAAACATGACTAATTCTGGCAACTAGAACGTTATTAAAATTAAATTTTCAGATTCAAACAAATAAATACTATAAACTAAAAAATGTTTTTTATAATTTAGTTCTGCAATAAACTCTCTCATTGAAAACAGATAATCTACTTAACATAGTTTTCTCTAATCATAAGTAATCTAATAATTGTATTATATATAAATTACAATCAATACTATCTAGTAATTATGTTAACATAATAGGTTTTAGAATGTTTACTTATTGTTGTTTCAGGTTAGTTAACAATATAAACTTTAGTAATGATAACGTAAAACTTTTCTTATTATCCTAAGGATAATATTTTCACATTAAAAATTATTACATTTTAAGTAGAAACAAACATACTATAAAAAAAACAAAAAAATTATTATTTAAGATTTATTGTATTAAAAAAATATTCATATTCTATAAGCCTCATTCAATAAAGTAGCTAATTGAGTAACTTTTTAAGTATAATTTTTTAAGTGAGATTTTAATTTATTTTTTTCAAAAATGTCGGATGACTTTTTTTAATTTTATAATTAAAATAAAGTCAGTACATAAGAAGTTTACTTTGCAAAATTTATTTCAAGAAAATATATTTATGTTAAATAGCTTTTTTAATTTTTTATTATTTAATTATTATTCTTCCTTAAAGTTTTTTTTATTGAAAAATTGTTTATTGGAATAATTTATAAATATCACTCCGTTTTCTTAAATTACCTTATTTCTTATTTATATTTAATGAGATAAGTTAAAGTAAATATTTGTAAGTTTTCGTAAACTTTAGTAAACTACTGCACTTTGATGATCAACTTATATGGTAGAATTTATAGTGTTATACGTTTATCATAACCTACTCAATTACTTACAAAATAAGAATATTTTCGTGAATAATTTTTCTAGCTTTTTTAGTTACATATATGTCATGATTTATCAGTTATAAAGTGCTTTTTCGCTTCAACTCTAATATATTATAAGGATAAAACTTTGTTTTTTAATGGAAACATAAAATTTAACTAGCTTATAAAATAGAAAATGATGAACTAAATAAGTGACTTGTCGATAGCATTTTTTGAACCAGTATTTTGAAAATATTAATATTCCAATATCAAGGCTATAGTTAAATCGTGAGTACGATTATTTTTATCTTTAAACATTTCTCAGCCATATTTTTCTCCCTACTTAGATATAAAAATGTTAATAACTTCCGAATTATTCACCTAAAAGTTGTTATCAATAAGACGTTTTTATTTTATAAAATTGTAAAATATGTATGTTACTTTAAAAGGTTACAAATTATTAATTTTTAATTTTGACCAAAACCAATAATTTTTGTATTTTTCAAGGAACATAAATAAACTAGGGTCACCAACTTACTGGGCGAGACAATGTATTGTCAGACTACAGTAGGATTTAAAGAAAAATAGAAAAATAAACATTGAAGTTAATTTATTATCATTGAAAACAATAAGAATAAAAAAACTATGTTGTTTAATTTTAGGCTCATAATTAAATTATGTTACTCCTATATACTAAGGGGAAAAAAAGTTTTATATAATTGACCTTGTCATAATAATACTAAATATAGAAATAATTATTGACTATAATATTATAAATATTAAAACTGTAACTGATGTCCGGTGAGTCGTTGATAGTTGATGTACATCAAAACCACGTGACAAATGATCACATAACCATAATAAATTGGGATGACCTTAGATAAGGCCGTTGCTCGTACCTTATAAATTAGGAGAAGATAATTTTTGAAGGTAAAAAAATACAAAATACACGTGTCCATTGAAGACGTAAAACGCGAGAAAAAGAGTTTGTGGTTAAATTATATTAAGGGGACTTTATTAAATAAAAAAAATTAAGTTAATACGAAGAAAAAACCGAACAGTCGACAAACCTTACCTGTTATTAAAGGAGAAAAAAAATCAGATATTACTAAAAAAAAATTATGACACCTACAACTTATACTTGAGAACACGATGAACGTCTTCGGGTACCCATCGACCGTCACGCACGACATTATAGCTAAAGCACTGTGAGTATACGCTCCAAGTAAGCGACTGGTTTTAAGTGATTAGACTTGACTTGCAATACGTTGAGACACCTCGGAATAAAGTACACTACATTGCCATAATAATGAATGCACATCACCCAATATAATATATTGTATGTAGCAAAGCTAAAAAAAATTAATTAAAACGAGAAGGCGGCATTTAAACACGCCTGTCCTGTTAATGAATATAAAAAAATAGAGGTATTTATAAAATGTTAAAAAAAAAATTCTCAACACGTGCTTAAGGCACAGCGCACTAAAACAAACTCTGGTTAAAAACACAAATAAATATATACATTACTAGCCCCGAAACGCTAAGAACAGGAGGCTGGTTCGGCCGACACCAAAAAAAACTAAACAATTTACATAACTATAGGTCACTTGCGAAAAAAAAACTATAATATTCAAAACCACAAGACACGTTGTAGGGCAAACTAACAAAGAATTAAATCGGTACGGACGGGAAATACCAACCCGTTCCGACTATGACAATTCGCCGATAACTTGTACCGCGCTTGACTCGGCGGTCCAATGACAACATTTCGGCTAGTTTTTAGAGGTAGGGGTCACAAATCTAAAGAAAACCAGTGCTGGAAGTTACGGAGAAATACCTGAACTAATATTTATGGTTAGGTAACAATGCAGGTGGTGAGCAGTGCAAATGTTCAACGTCCAAGATATGAAAAAGAGCGGGGGAGTGTACACACAAATGCCGTCCATGAACCGGTCCGAGGTAGTACACAGCTGACTATCTCGCACGTGCATAAACAAATCGCAGCACCTTATCATAATAATAATAATAGTTGCAATATAAATAACATGTATACAAAAAATTAAGAAGTAACCTTTTTGTTATGTTACAACTTACATGTAATATACCATAAATTTTCTATTTAAAGTTAGTTCTTGTTATATAATTTACAATAATGACTATGCTGTAACTATGGCCATTTTAGAAACATTTATAATTGTTTTTCATAATTGATTTATAATTAAAAATAAAAACAATTTTCTCATTACTTAAAACTATGCCTTAATTTTAAAGAACTAAGAGGAAATATTCAAAATTAGCAAACATATCATTGTTTAATTAATACAATATCACGTAACATCCAAATTATACTATAAAATGCTATATACTGATTCTGAATAAACCTTCTTATTCAAAATATTATTAAAAAGCTTTAAATGCTCATCGAATAATGACGATATTACATATCTGCTTTACTGAGTATTATTTTATTTTTATAAAGTATTTTAAGCAGTAAAATTATTTACAAGAATGTTAAAAAGAAACAAGGAACTTTTACTATGTAAAGAAAAATCAAGTTTAATAAGAATAAAAGCAATAAGGAATGCCATGTTTATATCATAATATTACAGTTTGAAATTTATTTCTAGTATTGCTTATATTGTACCCAATTATTTCATGAATAATTAAAAACACTCATCCGGGAGTTGAATACATAAAATAAAATATTATTCTAGGATTTGGATTGTTCTTTCTGATCCAATATTTATGAATAACGTTATGAACCTCGGGCTATAGCCTTTAAATTCACAGTTTTTTCATGAAACCATACAATTATTTATTAAAATTGCCAATACTCAAGGAAATTTTTTCCACAAAATATACATAATGGACATAGATAAAAGTTTACACAGCCAATATAGGGAGGTGATTAAATCAATCGGCCATTTTAATGTAGATTAATCAGTATGTTTGAATTGCTAAATTTAAACTATGTTAACGTTAACAAAAATATAGTAATAATTAGAAGTTTATTTTTTCACAATTTTAAAGTATTATTTAATATTTAATAAATATATTGAAGTACTAAGCATATTTAAAGAATATATTTTTGGGATAATTTTATTTTTTTTTATAAAATAAATACATTTTATTTATTATCACAACTGTAAAGGTGATAACCTTATCTATACTACAACGGCTACCAATTATTATTTATATTAAGAAGTTTCCAAAACCTATTTTTTTCATTCTAAAATCGTCAAGAAAAATGGAGATTTCATAAAATTTTATCAAATTAATGAATTAATTAATAAAAAAAACGGTTTATTATCCTTCTATTCCTTTAAATTTAAATATATGTATATTTTTTTTTAATTTAGTGTATTATTTAAATTGATTAGTATTTTAAAAATTATTAAACCGAAACTATCACTGAGACACTTTTTTGATAATTATAATCAAATTACAATCTACATTAAGAAATTTATTCAGTATTGATCTTTACTATAGGCTTTTTTTTTCGTCGTTTTACAGCATCTACATTCAATGAAATTTAATTAAGAGCATTCTTAAATCAAACTGAAGTTTGATATAATAATTTTTGAGTTCAAAAAATTAAAATTATTCATTGAAATTGTCATGGTAATAAATTTTATCTACAATTTTAACAAGTATTAGTTTGAATAATCAACGTGGGATTAACTATATTTGAACCATTGATCAGAATTACTTTGTAAAATTACACCCATCCTATCACACAGTTACACATTGTATGTGCAATACCCAAATTGCTCTATCGAAATCTAAAGCGCTACTTATAATTGTATATAATGATCGATTTGTTTATAAGTGACCTAAAGGAACGACAAATTCATCGCAATACGATGAATTAGTACTTGTAGTATGTGCATAAGTAGTAATATAGAAAATTGCATTATTCGTCCGTGAGCAAACATAACGGACACAGCTCACTCATATTACATTTACTGGTGGAAATGTAATGTTTGACTTCCGCCCCTCGAGCTATTTGAGTTATCAGGATTTACATATGTATATGTAAATTATTATTATTACAGTCTTTCTGTAACTGTGTGGGACTAGCTGCACATTGTTTCTAAAAACAAAAAACACCGAAATAGTTTAACTGAAGAAGTCGATGTTTTGTTTGTTCGATCAGTATAAAAGCAGAGATTGTTTATTTTCCAAAAAAATTTAACTTTATTTGTTGGCATGATAAAAGTTTCAGTTTAATATCCTGATCGGTAACCGGTGAATAAACCTAACTGACACGACATGTTTATTAGACTTATGTACACATATACTTTTTTCCATCGGCGAGACGTTGAAAAATAAGCTCCATAGAAAACAATCATAAATTATATTCATTTTATTTTATAAAACGATCATAACTACTATAAAACTTTAACCATGTCTAGAATATCAATAAGAAGAATTCAAATTGTTTCCGTACATATTACGACAATTTTCAACCTGATATTTGACGTAAAATAGTATTTTTAAACTTATCATTTTAACAATATTAGTCGAAATTCAAAACTTCAATATTATTGAATATTAAGTAAAACAGATTTTTCATTAATTAAATGTAAGAGGATTATTGAACTTTTTGTAAATATACTCCATTAATTGCGAGTAAATAATTTACTTAAAAAGTGTTTCTTATACTAAAATAAAATAAGAAGATTATTCTCTAATAGGTTAACGGATTCATGTTGTTTATTAATTTTTCGAACATTTTAAAAATTACGAATTATTCTATCAAGACGTATTTTTTTTATCAAATATAATAAATTATTTGGTCCCAAAAAAATACTTCCACTCAATGTTTGTTTAACCAAAACATTTTGTAAAGCCGAAATAAGGTGACGCTTTCTGTAAAACACAAATTTATATTAAGCAAATTTGCATAACATCAGTCTATGCCATTTCTAGATGCTTCGAACACATATTACTTTCGATTGTAATGTATCCTTAACACAATATCGTGTTTACTTGTTTTTTTTTCTACATTTTATTATTTAATTTAGCCTAAAAACGTGTGTCTTGACTACAAAGTTGATAATTTATTGTTACAATTGTATATTATTTTACTTACAATCCAAGAACGGTATTGAACCCTAAGTATTTACATTTCTATGCTATGGATAAGGTGATTAACCACAAATAAAAAAAAAATGAATATTGATTACCTTTCAAGATGTCAGCAACCTTACCTGAACTGTTTAATGTTCAATCTAACATGGCTGAAAATTATCAATAATAAAAAAGCTTACTTCGTTCGTTACGAATCCACAACCTCAACACCACTCTGGCTTACGAAGAGATAGAACTACATTGTTATTGATTCAGTAGTTTGAGTTTAAGTTTTATTGCGGAAACAGCTGAATTATAATTTATTTTATGACCCGAATGATTCAACTTCAACAGTAATAATCTAAAGTGTTACGCTACCTCATTTGTTTTGTAATTGACTTGGTCGAAGATTAAGAAACCTAATTAAAAATTATCTACTTTTTAAAATGCATATCATAAGTGTTGTAGTTGTAAAAAATCTACAGATATATTAGTTAATTTCATATAAAATACAGTTGTAAATTTTAAATCAAACATTTTTACTAATAGTCAAGTTTAATCAACAAGAAAAAAATATAAATAATTTTTTTAATAAAAATAATGCACAAATATTAATTAAAATAATTGTATAAAAAAAGAAATATTTTATTATTACATTTTATCTTGCACTAAAATTTTAAATATAATAAATGTAAAAAACTTTAGGGTTATTCTCACAGTAAAGGTTTATGAGTCGTGATAAACCCGAACTGTGGTCAATATAATACCATTTAAATACAATATGATGCTGTGATTGTACATAAACAATTTATTGACTTGGATAAAAATGGAATAAATTTCTCAAAAACGAATTACGTAAAGTAACAAGAAATTAAATTACAAAGTTACTAATTTTTAAAGATTTTTTTATAAAAAATAATAATGACTTTTATAAGCATATTAATTTTCAAAACTTAAATGCTTAAAGATTTGAAAAACATACTGAAAGAATAATTTTTTATGTTTGTATTTTATTTTATTTTTCAGTAAAAGGCTTTTAAAATAGACCGAGGAATTTTCACGTTTTAACTTATTGATATCAAATTTTTTATGTTAAATTAAAAAGTTAATTCAATGTTATTGAATTTTTACTCTTATAAACTAGAACAATTTAATAAAATGGAATATTATTTTTTCCAACCGATTCATCAATAGTATCACTCAACCAGTGGATAATTCAGGGGGCCTCATTGTCCGCAATATTTATTTTTAAAATTAAGTGACGAGCAAATAAAATAAATCTAAAATGTGGACGTTCATAGATATTTTTACTATACCTCCCCTATAAAAAATTATGACTATACCACTGTACTCGATGTATTATTTTTAAACTTAATTACAATATTTAGGTTATTATTTAAATCAACATATTGTAATGAAACGATAAGAAGTCTAATTTTACTGCACCGTATGAATTTATATGGTGTAAAGTATTTTGTGATAAATAATTTTTTGAGTAAATCTTGATTAACTATTGTTATAAATTTTATTATGACTGCATGTTACTTACAGGTAAATGTGCTACATAATAATAATAATAATAATAATAACATAATAATAAACACTTAAATGCTCAAGAGATGTCTTTAACTATCTAAAAATATCTATTAAGTTAATATTTTTATCTTTTGACTACATTTTATGTATAAATTAT